ACCATCGTTTATATTTTGTATTGAAAAATATTAATATTTATGTGTGTGCTTTTTTTTCTTCATCAAAATGTAACTTATTATTAAGTTTTAGTAAAAAAGAGTAGAAAGTTTACTTAATCAAATTTAATCAGTTCGGGTTAAACAAATACAATATATGTCACTCTCTGTTTCCATCTTTATAGTTTTTTTAATCAAATTTTTTTTATTATTTAGGTGTGTTTTTTTTAAATGATTCCTACAAAATTAACTTATTTTAATTTTAGTAAAAATGAGTAGAATTATTAAAAGAAGAGAGAGACAACTTCATAAATAGATCAAAAAATAGTTTTTTGTTTGTAAAAAAATTGTCCACCTTGGCAACTTGTGCATTCACCAAGTGCTTATGTGGCAAGAAATTATTTTTGAATAGCCATAATATTAAGTATAGATAGATAGATAGCTTCTTTCTATAGGTTGATTGGATATCCTAATTAGTCAATTCTCTTAATTATGCACTAATAATCGATCAAGGACCATGCTCATATCCGCATAGTGTAGGTAATTTGAGCAAATCTCTCCTATGCTTGCCGTGCTTGTGATGATGCTCGTTTATATTCTCTCCCTATTAGATGGCCTATACATCCCTTAATCAACTAGGTAAATGTCGATACAAGATATTAAGTACGATACAAAGGTTCATAACGATTCCTATAATAGATATTTCGATCTGCAAATCTAATAATCGATCCATATAAATCTCGACACTAAATATTGGATGAAAACTCAGATACCAAACAACATATATTATCGAGGTCGTTCCAACAATTAAGTTATTAAGAGAGATCAAGATTTTCATTTTCTGTTATGATTTTTCTTCATGAAAATCATTGAATAAAATCCAACACGCCGGATATGAAAGCTTAGACGGTATCACCACCACACATTCTACGTGTTTATATCAATGTTGATTAATATCGAAGGGTAAGAGACTCCAGGAGTTAGTCTTTTCTCGATAACTAATAAATTATTAGCTTGAACATCGTGTATTGACTACATCAATTCAATCCAAAAAAAGAAGAAAAATGACAGCCAAAGATCCAATCACACAAATTATGCCAAATAATGTGGTGGCTTATCTACAAGAATGTGGAATCTATCATTCTCCCACCTTGTTAATCAATTATCCCTTTAATATATGTAATTAAAGGTCACCAACAAAAGAAAAAGCCACCATCAACTCCCATAAATCCCACTTACGAGTAATCAATTTTTGTGGTGGCAAAATCATTAATTCGTCACATTTTGATGTGTATATACATATAGAGATATTGTTACGATATGTTGATATTATAAAGATGCAATAGGGATATACGTGTATCTTTTTGTTCACTACGTTACTCATTTAGTACTCATCAATGGAGGAGTGATTTACGATTCAGAAATCTCTCCATTGGATTCCATGGGGAATTATGAAGGTGAAATTGGGTGGCTGACAGAATTTTTACATGATTGATTGCTATCTACTGGGTTTTCACCATGATTCCCCTTCAATTTAAGCATGCGCCAAATGGTCATAATTAGTAAATAGTAATGCAATCAAATAGTAAATGATCCTTTTATCACCACAAGTGTGTAGTGAGCTGACTCATACTTTCATCCAAGAGGAAAAAACTAACCAGCTTGGAAGTCAAATTGATCTATCCTTCAGCATCTACGCTTCGTGATCGGTCTGTTAGTTCGGGTACAAATTGTCTTTCACTACCGCTAGGTATTGCCATATGGATAGAGTTAGATAAACAAGATCTTCCACTCAAATTCAATTCAACTAATAAAAACGAGTAACCTGACTCTATCCTCAACAAACAAAAATTTTTACACGCCACTCTACAGACATCCGAATCGACACTCAATAAGGAACTACACAAAATTCTGTATGCAGAGGAGACAACACGTGGAGGCATTGTAATATGGGGATGACAATCAATCCCATGATCGCGGATGCCCGACCGCCTCCAACCTAGTCAACACGAGGAACCTATGCATTGACTGGGTATAGGACAGATATGGGTAAAACCTACAAATGCCAAAAAGAGGTGAAATGTAATTGAGTAGCCAAATTATACTAAGACTAGGTATAGTAATGTTGTATTATCCGGATAGATGTGTTGTATTATCCAGATAGATGTGTTGGAGTCGGAGATGAATGATTCATATAGCATTGCGCTGTCTTATGTATGTTTCAGGATTGTATGCTTTGAATTGGTATTAAAAACGTTTTATCCATGGGGTTGTGGAATCTTCCTCTGAGAGTTCATAAGAAGCAAAGCCCAATGAGCAAAACAAATAGCCGCTCCCACTCCAAACAAAGCCCAAATAGAAAATGGAAGCAAAGCCTAATCAGCATATTTGGGCAGAAGGCCTCAAGCCCAATGAAATCAACAGCTCAATCCACATTTCTCATTGATAATTGTAAGAGGTCAACATTCGGCCCATTTACCTGGAGCCCTCCATCCTTTTCCCCATATAAAGGATGAGAGATTCATGCGTTACAAATTTACAAGGGGCAGAGTAAGAGAGAAGCACAAAACAGAAGCAATAATATGCAGGTGAAACAGAAGAGATACACAATAGACAGAGAAAACTAATCAAGGGACATGAAGAGCTATAGAGAAATTTCGTCATCAACAGCCATGACCGGCAAACATTCTCCGACTTGAGGTTTAGCCAAATACTCCGGGACGATGGAAGAAGCTTGGCTTGACAGACAGCAACTTTACAAGAAGCTGGACGGAAAGAGAAAAAAACTTCTGAAGGGAGAGCTGAGATTATGGCAATGTTGAGTTAACTGCCGTGTGTAAAAAAAGCCTGCAGTTCCAACGTCGCTGCAAGCCGAAGCTTTTTTTGAATAGTGCTTTCATTCTTCCTTCCTTCCTTCCTTCCTCACTTTTCCCATACCTCCTGAAAGCAGCATTACCAATATATACAGAACCCACAAAGATCGTAAGTGATAAGCTAACATATATCACCAAAAACAGTTGTAGAACTAGGAGAAGGGTTTACTGACTCTGTATTGAGGTGGGACGAGCCTGGAACGACGTGTGTATGTAGTTCAATTGCACCAAACGAAAACTTGGCCATTCTGTAAGGGAAATGTTGTAACGACAGACTGATTCATTCTGTAATTTGAGATTTTCATCAAGCACTCACTCACGTGGATAGATTTCTCATATTGATAACCAGTCGGCTGGTCATAATCTCATATTCATAGGGGCAGATGCAAAGGGCTTAGGGGCCTGAAAGGGCCTGCCACCTGCAGAACCATCAATAGAGTGAACAAGGTAATTCTAACCGATCAGGGATATATTTGGCCATTGGATAAAGAAAAGAAGGGATAGAAATAGAACTCAAATCTGCTTTAATTAAACATCACTGGAATTTTTCCTAACCAAGTATGGATCTAGAAGATGATTCAGGTTCATTTCCTGGAATCCAGCTAGATAACTTAGATATCATGTCCCTACCTATCAGCATCACCGATCAAGTGCTCAGATCAAATCCTGACAAAGCACTTGATGAAAAACACACGAACCCAGCTTAAGTATGATGACTTCAGAAGTCGAAGTCTTGAAGCCAACTATAGGATGCAAGAGAATGCTTCAATACAAGCTACAGTTCAATAAGTCCTGAGATTCTATAAAAAATATCAACATGCTATCTATGAGTTATTGAGTTAGATATTGGAAATTAAACATTTAAGAGTTCAATCGGAACCCAGAAAAAGGAAACTGAGCGAACATTTAGAGAATACAGATGGATTCAAGTTCAACTACTAATCAGCAGTTAGTCTATATTCTATAACAAGATTACCTGCCAAGAATTGGTGCAACTTTAGTCTATAACAAGATTACCTGCCAAGAGTGTGATGGCAACGTGAGTAACCATAGAAATCAATCTGTCCGTTGTTCGAGAAGGAACGAATATCCGAATGAAAAAAGAGGTATATGCCATGGACCTGCTTCACCAGCAAAGATGGATACACAAGGATGCTAACAAAAAGAAAAGAACAAGTAAGAAAAAAAAACTTGAAAAGCTTGCTAGAACAAGGACTCATGGGGATGGGGAATCTGCATTTTAAGAAGATGATAAGAGACCGGATAGTGGGTTACCTGCTCAAAAACGGGTACATCGGTCATTGGACCCAGATTGGAAAATCAGTGCAGTACATAGACATTTTCATCTTACAATTTCAGCCAACAATTTCATGTTGACAAGCTGTTGGCAAACACATAACCTTCACAGTGGTGACTAAGCAGCAATCAACAGCTCCTCTAGGCTCTAAGTCTTTCCCACATAACCCCGTGAGTGTTGAGGATAGCTTCAGAAGCTCTATGTAAGACCGGATAAACAGCAGGTACTACTGCATTACGCTGTAGAATATATGGTTTCCGGTTTTTGTTTCAGACACGACCACTAATGTAGCTGATAATGGTTTTAAGCTGTCAAAAGATTATTCTATACCATTAGCAGTAGCGACTAGCGAGAACCTTTGAGCTGTGAATTTGCCCTTGTCAGCTCTAAGCAAATGCAATTCTCCTCAGGAGAGGATACTAGCTCGAAGCTCTTAGTGAAAGTGATCACCATAGCTAATAATAATGACCGAGTCAGCTTAACAACTGTGAACTATTTAACCCTATTCGCAGTATTGGATAATGCTAATTTATATTACGCCTCAGTTCATGCTGCAGACACCCCTTTTCTTAATTAGCTCACTTTATCTCGGAAAGAATGGCTTCATTCACAGATAAGTGTTTTGCTTCATGCCCACAACTCCAACAGATGCAGAAAGGTCAGCTAAGGGTCTTAAAGACTTAAACTGGGATTAAAAAGTAATACTCAACGACGAAAATATGGTCAATCTCACCAGTAACTCAACAGTGGCAACTGTTTTGTTGTCTACAAGATTTTACTCAAATGAAGTAGGCTAAGTGAATGGAATCCTGAGGTTACATGACTCAAAACCAGCAAGCAAATCAAAAGTGATCTGATGATATACCATGATTTGATCCAAGAGTGACCTCTATTCTCTCCAACCAAAATCAGCTCAATGTGTGCTTTTCACAGGCAAATCCCTATCCAGACCAGAACATAACTCCAACCAACAGAAACCACTGGGCCATTAATTTTACCAGCTAAAAGAATGCTTACGATTGTCAATTGTGGAACTATTCATCGAAAGAGTATCTCACAGATGAAGACAATTCAGAACAACCATGTCAAATTCATATGACCCAGAACAGTATTCCTTCTCACTCTACAAAACCCATCTCCCCAATTCTAAGAAAGTTCCAAACTTTATTAAAAAAGATTCGAGATATAATGAGTTGTAGCTTACAGAGCTGATGTAATCGAGTAGAGCTGCGTTAGCTTCCCCGTCCTTGGCAGGGGCATCGATCTGAACTCCTACTGCCTCGTCACTGATATCTATCTTCACACAGTAAACAAATCCCCCCAAAAAAGAACTGAAACGCCAATGTATGGAAGAATTTGATAGACAGAACTTATCATAGGAAGGAAGAGACGAAAACCTACCTGTGATGGAGGCGGATTTGGCGCCGGGCTTGGCGTGGATGGTGATGGCTACCAAGGACGGAGGCACCGACCGAGCTCGCCTTTCCTTTGCCTTTCTTGTTCGAGGGCGCCATGGTTATTGAACCTTTGAGAAGTGCCATTCTGTACTTCCTCCCTCGTTTTCCAGCTTCGCTTCTCTCTCTCTACGACTGGTAGTTGCCATTGCCAACGAAGTCTCAACGTTCAGCAAAATTTACAAGTTGGTCCTTCTCCAACTTTTCTAATCCTTATTTATGAGATTTTCCACATTCGAGCTCTTTACCATGGCAGAAAGTTATGACTTATGAGAGCTCGTGCAATTTCCTTATAGTCTTTACTTTTGAAAAGAGAATTAGAATATATTATATACTCATAAGGGAAAGGGAAGAAGATTGGAATATATTCTACAAAAAAAGTTTCTGAATTTATTTTATGAGAAAGGATAGATAAAATTTCCGAATACATAATTCTAGGATTTCAAGACAATGGTACATTTATAACAATGCAATGATAATTGATACATTTGGAACAATATCCAAAAACAACACCAGATTGTGCAGCGGCAAATGGAAATTGAAATCTGCAAAATCTTACAAGACTTCCAAAATCAGCAAAATGGCAGCTTAAGGAGGCAGCGGCATTGCTCTTCTTTCTTACTTCGAAAACCTGTTGGCAACGTATTCAGCAATGGCCATGCATGAAGTCAAGCCAGGTGACTCGATTCCAAAGAGGTTGACAAGTCCAGGCACTCCATGGCTCTCCTCTCCCTGCAGTAATACCAAATTCCAGCTTTCAAAACATAGACACAATCTGAAACACCACCGGCCAAGAACAACTAGGACATGATCTAACATAGGCAGAGATTTAACACATCAAACTTCAAACACACATCATCGAAATGACACGATGCTGTAGTAATGCATCATTCTTGTTGGTGCCACCAGAGTGGGGGAAAAGAAAAGAGTAAATTACACAAGATAAACTGTCGAGTAGGAAGGAGTTCAATTCAAGAATCGATAACCTGTATTACAAAGTCGCCAGCAGATTGTCCAGGACCAGTAACTTTCGGTCTGATCCCTGAATAACCTGGCTCGAGTGAACCATCCTTCAGATTTGGATAGTACTTCCTTATCGCAGGGTAAAATCTCTCTGCTTGACTCGCATCTACAGTATAATCATACCTGGCAAACCAGTAACTCAGTGTTAGCTAAAAGTCTTAGCTGGAAATTTGAACAGTTCAAAGTAAACAGCAAAAGAGAGCAAGAAGCGTAACTTGTCTAGAAAGCTGGAAACATCATCTACCCCAGAGATCCATTCCACATTAGGGCCAAACTTAACCTGACCATCCAAATCCAGCGTAACATGCACCCCCAAACCACCATCCTCAGGAGTAGGGTATATCAAATGCTTGAAAGGCGGCTCTCTAGTATTCGACAGGGTGAAGTAGAGTCCACGAGCGAAATGCGGTTTGGGAATCACGCTGCTACTCAGGCCATCGAATCTCCTTGCAAGAGCTATAGCACTCAATCCAGCAGAGTTCACCACAAGATTAGGCACGAGCACGAATTCCGGGTTCAGCACAGAAATGCCATCCCAGTTCTCAAGCTCTTGGCTTCCAATAACTTGCAAGTTCAAAGAATCTCCTTCAACGTGCCCTCCAATGACAGTGGAGTTGTAAGAAAAAGTTGCTCCATGGTTCTCAGCATCTCCCTAGGTAAGAGAACCCCAAGTCATATAACCATATCTCCCTGTCAACATAGAATCATCATTCATATATACCTTCCATCTCATAACTACGAAAAAATCCGGGTTAAATACTAATTACGATACCGAACTTGTCCATACCTATCACATTCAACACCAAATTCAGAATCACGACAACTAGAACACCAAACTCACCCTACTATGTCATCGTTAGCAGTTCCATTTCCATTTCTATTTATGTAGTTCAATGTCCAATATCTGTTAACCAAGTTTGGTTCTTTATCATTCTCAATACCTGAGCTCAATGGCCAATGCGATAGATACAAATGCATACTGAACAAAATTGAGAACTCACCAGTAAAGACAGCATGAGAGAGTGACAATCGACAATCCCAGAACAAGGGGAGAGCAAAGCCTTGACGCAATTCAATTCAGGCTCCATCTCCACAGCTTCACAACGATCCAGCATCCTCAAACCCTCGACACCATTTTCAACCCCGCGGTCCATCAGATTCGACAGCGTCGAAACCCCGGCCTCCCCGGCGGCGACGATCAGCTTCCCTACCCGCTCGTGAGGAATCCCTCGCTCCGAGCAGTAACCGTACATCAGCTTCCTCCCTTCGACGCATAGCGCCGCCTTGAGCGAGCTCCGCGGGTAGTAGATGCCGGCGTGTATGACCTGGCTGTTGCGCGAACTCGTGGAAGTGCCGAAGGTCGAAGCTGAATCGACGACCAGAACTTCCCTTCCCTTTAGGGCGAGCGCCCTGGCTATTGATATCCCCACCACGCCGGCGCCGATCACCAAACAATCGACGTTCTCCTTCGGGGAGCTCGTGGATTTGGAGGCGAGGTTTCGGAATTTCAAGGCCGTGGGTGAAGATAGGCTGATTTTCTTCAACTTCGTCAGCATCTTTCGCCGGTGTCGGAGCTCAAGTGGCGGCGAAGAGGACAATATGAGAGGTAATTAGGGAAATACAGGGGATGGTAAAGTATTATTTTAGCCACTAGAATTTATCTAGAATACCATTTTGGTCCCTGGAAGAGATAAATCAATAGAAGATGTTTCTATCGGAGTCGATTGTGTTTTTGTTTCACACGGGAGATCGGAGGGTAAAGATGGACGGCGGAGCGGCAGCGGTGGCCGGAGACTATGTCCCCCCGGTCTCTACCGTTGTTTCTGGTAAGAAAAATGGTAGATTTGCTTGCTTTTTTTCTCCAATTTCTGATGAATGCCCTCGAGTGGTTGGACTATAAAGTTTGAATCTTTACGTTTCAATTCTGCAAAGCCCCATATGAGCTTTGTGATTCTATGGTTTAGTTCATGAATTGATGAACTTGTAAGTGTTGAATGGATGAGGTTCTTCTTTGAGTTGATTGTGCTCAGAACCTTCAATTCCACATGGGCCTGCACATTGGTAAATTAATTTGTTGGCTTTCTCCTTGTTCGTTTTCATTTGCTAAACCGATTTCCATAGCCGGATCGATGTGAGCAAGCAAACGGTGGAGTGGTTTTCACCATACTGTTGAATAAAGTTGAAAGAAGTAACAAGCTTTCTTCAATTAGCAAATGCTTATAGGGTGGCTTTCTCCGATGAGGTTGCCTGGGATTGAATTTGAGTTTTCCATTTTGCAGAATCTTGTGATTCTTTGGTAGACTAGAAGCAGATTAGCTGCTTCTGTTCGACAAGATGGGAGAGTTGAAGGGAAAGACTGCTCAAAGATTCATGCAACAACTAGGTGGCAATGAGTTTGATGTTGTTTCATAGTTGCAAAACATCTCTGTTCTGCCAATACAATCAAGATGTCTATAATGTGAATGAAAATTGGAATGCAGGAGCTGGTTTAGATGTGCTGAACAGCCACCACATGGTTCTTAGAGACTTGAAACCAGAGGTATGATAAATGCCCCTCGTGATTCACAATTCTTCCAACCCTAAAGATTTGGCCGAAAACTGAAGTTGGCCCTATGTTTGGCTTGATGATTGATGCAGAATATTCTACTTAGTGGCCAAGACAAATGATCTGGTTTTCAAGATTGCTGATTTTGGGGTTGTCCAGGTAAGTTCAAGGTCTAGTAGTTCACTTACTTTGGTTGTGTTTATTCTTGTTCTAGTGTCTCTATTCTGTTGGATTGAACTTTACATTATTCCATATTCAAATGAAAATTCATCCAAACCGTGCAGAAGACAGCATCCAGAGAAGTGATCGAGCGGAGACAGTTTGTGGATCTCCATTGTATATGGCTCCAGAAGTTCTTCAATGCAACTCCTGCTGCAAGTTCACTGCAAATGTGTTCATATGCATGTATGTATTGTTCCATAATCTTCGACCATTGTGGCACAGAACAGTGTGAAGAATGTGGCTTTCCAATCTTATCACAGAAGAGCCTGTAATAACTGGTGAACCCGTTTTAACCAGCAAGATACAAGTGGTCCAACCGTGACCGCCACCAATGACACTCAAACCGGTTCAACCCTTTTTATCGGTTTACTTACCGGTTAACCAATAGCCCAAAGGCTAGGAGTAGGACTGAGGATCATGCAACCTCCTTACACGTCAGGTTCTATTAGTAATTACTCTCTTTCATTTTATCTCTTCGCGTTCCAACCTCCTCCGCTCTTCTCAAACAAGGCTTTGCCTCCATATGTGTTGCAACTAAAGCTCCGCCTCCGATCACCTCGGCAGTGCCTCCAAGACCAAGACTGGACACGACAAAAATCGCTGGCACGCAATCAGATCATGCTGCTATGAAGTTTCGAACTCCTTCGCCCTTCCACATTGCTCCATCTCTCCTGAGACAACCCCTTAAATTACCTTTTTAAAAGATTAAAAGTCAAACAGGCGAAGACTAACCCTAGGAAGGAACTAAAACCAGATCGTAAATTTGCCATGGATGTACCGAAGAGATGGGAAGCAAATCCCTAATTAATCTAGAACTGATATTCAGAATTGAAGAATATGAATCAACAGGCCAAGAGAGAAGATGAGGCGAAGGAGGAAGAATTGAAAAAAATAAAAATTCAAGGATATATTTTTTTATTCAAAGAACAAACAGTTTTATTTTATTAAAATTTATTTTCTTTCAAAATAAATGGAGTTAATAGGCTGATAAACTTAACATAAATGGAGGATTGGCAAACCAGTTTATATCATTTTATAAGTTTAGCGAGTAGTATGATTCAATCGGTATACTTTTGTTAACTATGTACAAAGTGATCACTACAACCAAAATTTATATTAAAAAAAAAATTACAATGTTACAAAAAATCATCATATTTCAATAATAGCTTTGTTTAAATCAATTCATCAAAACAACGTCATTTCTTTAGTAGCCAAAAATTGGTCATAACAACCAAACCACATGTTTTCTCAGTGTTGACTAATTCCGACTATCACTTCGTATCGAGATATTCTAACTAATTTGTGTCTGGTATTGAATGAGTCCTATTGTACCGACCAATATACCAACGGTTTGCTAGGAAATTCAAAAGACAAAAGCAAATTTACATAAAAAAAAAGATAAATTAAATGAGATGGCAAATGCTGATTAATTTTAGGGTGCGTTTTTTTAGAAGTTTTGCATTTTCATAGGAACAATATAGTATATAATAATTAATAACACTAATAGTAGTGTTATAGTTCTAATACTACGTTTTTAATTAAAGGTTTACGCTTAATAATTGTTTCACAAATTAAAACTTATTAGCATGCATCTCTTTTTTTATCATGATTTTCGATCGGCTAGAATTGAAAGATTAAACAATTCATGATCAGAAAACATCCCATATTTGAAGCTTCCTAATTAGCAACCTAATCCACTATTCTTACATAAAACGTACCCCTGTATTTAAATTATCAGCTATGCTTTTTGTTAAGTTTTCCATAGAAAAGAATATTGATCATTGATCAAATTGTGGTTTGGGTGACACAAATATCTAAAAGAAGCATAATAATTTTATAAAACATTTTTGGTTTCCTTTGTATGGCTCAGTACCTCTAATAATTTTGCTTTAACAAGACTCAAAGAAAAATTGATGGAAAAAATTGACATTTTCCCTCACAATTAATTTTATCAAGGTCAGGTCCTCTAAACAAATGTTCGAACATGAGTGACAATTTTGGATAGAAATTATAACAAAAGAGCATGTTTGATAATATTTCTAAAGTACTACATGAATATGTTCGATATAAAAAATAATAAAAAATTATGTTTGATAAACATGCATAGTAAGGTACATATTCAACATATAACCCTAGCTACGAAATGTTGCATTCAAAAACTAAGCCGCCCATCGGGCGGGCCGCAAAACTAGTTATGTATGTATGATTGAATGAGCAATCTAATCAGGTTTCTTGTTGCAGCAATCGATTGAAATGGATCATGATCCATTCAGGGAAGACTATGTATTACCGCATAGGATTACCAAACTATCATTAAAAGTATCCTGGACAGAAACAAGATAATCGTAATGAATCGCCACAAATTACCGGCAATTTCTAGATTATGCTGGATTGGGTACAAGACTAAAAGTTTAGTGTAATTTTACTTTCAATATATCCTACAGAGACTCGATCGAAACATAATGATTAGTCACAGTGATGTTCGCCATAAAACGTGTCCACATGGTATTTTTAACTTTGTAAGTTAACCACACCTTTATTTATCTTCCTACCCTTAACTATTTTAACCAATTGTACTTACAACTTACAAATAAATGAGAAGCTTAGGATAATGAATCATCGTTTATATTTTCACCGAGTTCTCACAAACATGTAATGTAATGAGTCGTGTGCACCATTAATATCTCATGGTATACTATCGATTTTAATCTTCACGTTCTATCATCTTGATAAAAATTTATTCACTACCACCGGTAAAATTGTAAGACCAAATCATCCACTATCATTAATTTGCCAGATATACATAAGAGTATAGTAATCACAAACGTATGCGTCGTAGTTGTAGTCGAAGTTTTAAAAAGAAAGGTTGATTCGGGTCCAAATGTACACATTTTGTCCCTCATTTCTTGATAATTTGACTTTGCATTTCATCGTTCCACAACATATTTCATGCTAGGTTGTACTTGTTTTGATACATTTCAGGTCCTAACACATGTGGAAGGGTCGAGGTCGAATTTTGGGATAATTGGAGGTCAAAAAGCGCAAAAACCGAAGGAGGAAGAAAGGAGGAGAGGTTAGGTTAGAGTTTCTTCTAGAGTGAAAAAGTGCAAATCAAAGGAGGAAGAAAGGAGGAGAGGTTAGGTTTTCATTTTTCGATCAAGAAGGAGAGGGCATTCTTCATTTTTAGGTTAGGTCCTCACTCACTGTCTTTTCGCGGATGACACTGTTATTTTTGGCAAGGCGACAGTAAGAGAAGCTGAGGCCATTCTTCACATCCTCAATGACTATGGATCGATTACGGGTCAAGAGGTAAACAAGGAAAAATCCTCAATATTTTTTAGTGCAAATGTCCCCACCCATGAGCAAGATCTGATCACCCACTCCTCTGGGTTTGCTGTCGACGTTTGTCACTCCAAGTATCTCGGAGTTCCTACAAACTGGGGTCGCTCCAAGAAGGAAACCCTCCAGTTTCTTCTGCAACGGATGGAAGCCAGAGGGGAATCCTGGAAGAGTATCCTCCTTTCCCCAGGAGGGAAGGAGGTGCTTCTCAAAGCAGTTTTCCAAGCAATCCCATCTTTCATCATGTGTCTGTTCCTTCTCCCTCGATCGTCTACGAACAAAATGGACTCAATGCTGAAGAATTTTTTCTGGAGCGGGTCGCTCACCAAGAGAACCATTAACTGGAGAGCTGGCCATGTTCTTTACGCCCCAAAGGAGGAAGGGGGTCTCGGCTTCCGCCCTTTTCACACGGTCAATCTTGCCTTGCTGGCCAAGCAAGCATGGAGAGCAGTCACGAGTCCTGACGCCTTGTGGGTTAAGGTACTAAAAAGCATCTATTTCCCCCATTCTGATTTCTTGAATGCTAAGAAAGGTGGTAAAGCCTCTTGGATCTGGGCTAGCCTTTGTGAGGCAAAAAAAATGGATGCAACAGGGTATTATCAGGGTGATTGGCAACGGGAAATCTACTAGGATGTTCCAGGATCCCTGGCATTTTGATCAGGCTGGCCCCCTCCTCCATCTTGATTGGCCGGATGGTTTGACAGTGGACAGGTGGATCGATGGAATTAGCAGGGAATGGAGGTTTGATCTTCTTGCCGATTATCTTAGCCCGTCGGACCTCTCGCAGGTGGCGGCCACTCCTATTGGCCCGGATTCCCTGGAAGATTTCTGGGCGTGGAGGTGTACAGTCAACGGAGCCTTTTCGGTGAAATCAACTTTTCACCTTTCCCACGATCAGATTCGCCGGAGTCAGACCCAACAGTCAGCACCTACTGCGAGCAAAGAGCGATGGAAATGGCTCTGGAGCCTTACTCTCCCTCCGAAATTGAAATTCTTTATTTGGAAAAGCACAAGAGGGGCCCTGACATCGAAAGACAATCTTCACTCTCGGAGTTGTGCGGTGTCCAGCTCCTGCCCCATTTGTGCCGTGGCCACAGAGTCCACTCACCACATCCTCTTCACCTGCCCCCACACAGCTGCTGGATGGAGCCAAGAATGGCCATCTCTGGCGGCTCCGCTACCCCTCACCTCCATCCTGGAGTGGCTCTTTTCCCTGATCGCCAGGTACCCCCATCGACTCTATACACAAAATTATTTTCCTTATGTGGCAGACCTGGAGAACGAGAAATGAGTTCATCTTCAGAGGCAAGACCCCCTGGCCCCCATCCACGATTTCCTGTGCTGTGTTGGCCTGTCATCAATGGGCCACCTGTCCTAAGATACGACCTTCAGCACCTCCACCATCTCAGCTAGCCCCACCCCTGGACCACCTTGATCCACCGCCAAGTTCTCATCTGTTTGAGATACACTGTGACGGTTCTTTCTTCGAAGAATCACAGGAGGCGGCTTATGGCGTCATAGTTACGAATGCCCATGGACAAGTTTGTGACGGGATAGTTGAACCCCTGCACTGTTTTTCACCACTTGAAGCAGAAGCGAAAGCATTACTCGAAGGAACCCGCCTTGCGGCTACCCTCAACAGCCAGTGCTTGGTTCGATCTGACTGCCTTGGCCTGGTCAAAGCTATTCAGGGACACCAGAAGTGCTGGCCTTGGCGAGCTGCAGCTTGGCTGGGAAGCATCATGAAAACTCTCGGAGACCACCTCTTGATCCGGATCAGCCACATCAAAAGGAGTGCTAACTCCAAAGCTAACTGGGCGGCTAGATCAGCTGCAAAAAACATGTTGCCCATGCACTGGATACAGGTCCTCGATGTAATCTCCAATCTCTTGTAACTTTTTTGGCTTCTGCCGCAAGTAATGAAAAGCATTGCCTTTGGTAAAAAAAAAAAAGGAGAAAGAAGGAGTTTTGGGCTTGTTCCTAGCTAGAGGATTGAAGATTTCTCCATCTCAAGGGTGTCTCAAGCAACAAGGGGGAAATATTGACATCACTTCATGGTTGTTTCTCTCCTTTTTGTTGTTTTCTCTTGTTTAGCTATGAAATAACCTACCTACTCACTTGGGTATTGTGAATCCTAGTCTCTCTATGTGTTAGGATGTAAGAACATGAACCTTTTGTGTTGATTGAGTGTTTTATATAATATTTGAGGTATTATTCATGTATGATTGAGTGTGCTAGCTTTAACTCAATATTGGGTAAAATTAACCTAGTGGGTGGAAATCCCTTCTTGGTCCAATTAGGAGCTAGACTCCTTAACCACTTGGGTAACCTCCTTTAGGTCAATTTAAGACCAAAATCTCAAATATCGGAGTAGGTCCTTGATTCCACCGGGATAGCTCTCTCCGCCGACCGAATTAAGTTCCGAGGGTTTGGTTTGCCATCCTTAGCTAGCTAGTTGAGAGGGTTAGGTTTCCTATCCCATCGTTGTCACCCTTAGCCGAAAGGTTAAGTGAGTTAGCTTTCTAACTTGTTGCAACGATTCTCAATTAGCTAGCTAAGAGACAGTTAGGGATCTCCTTGGTTGATCGATAAAGAGGGCTAGACTCTCTAGCTATGAATCACAATTCTTAACCTAACGGTTAAGAGAGCTAGTTCCCCTAGCTTACATTTGTTGATTTTCCTTCATTGATCGACTAAGGGAGTTTGTCCCTAACTAGTTGCGCCCACCTCGCGGTGTATGAACACGGCCTTCACACTAGAGCTTTGTTTGTCGCTTCTTAGCATGATACTAGGGGGAGCAATACCCAGGTGAAGTTCTCTCAAGTAGAATTCTCCTCCATTTACTTTCCTTGCTTGTTTTCATTTGTAGTTTTCATAGTTTTAAACCCAAAACCGTTTTTCTGGATAACAAATTAAGCGATTGAAGTAGGGGTACATGGCCCGATCCGGGTTTGACAATTAAATACCTGTCATATACTGCACCCGGTTAGAATTTAAAAACTTGAGCTCTAGTTGGATTAATTTGTGGTGCAATTTCGTACGAGTCAAATGCCTTCAACTTGCTTCATTCCATCACAGACAAAACAAAAACTGTCGCTCACTCTCACGTCATATGTGAAGTCAAATGGAGAGCCAAATTGGGTCGTAATAGAAGTGTCTCATTTGACTACTAGAATGTCACCATCAATCCCCACTTAAGACAATGGTCAACGCCACCACTACTGCATCATGATAAGAACATCATACTCTTAGTAATATTTACAAACATAATTTTGCTTCTAATAGGTGATTAGATAGAGACTCTTGTTAACAACCTTAAATTAGCCAATCATGACACTTAAGACATTATTATAGAACTATTAAGCACTCTATTTGGTCACCAAAACATATCAAGACAATTGTTTTTGCCTTGATGTCTACACCTCCAATTTGGGTGAGAAATAAATTGATTTATGTAAGCTAGTTGGTATGAACACACTATTATCTAAGGGTTTCATAGTTTAGGTGGGATTAGTATTTTTTAGATGAGAATTCTATGATTGTATCCATCCATCTCCTTGTGTAAAATTATGTTGAGTTACTTAATTTTAGAAATTTTCAAGGAAAAAACCTAAGTTTAGAAATGATAAAATCCCTTGAAGACTTTTTCTTTCTTTCTAGAACACGGACATCATGTTCAACAATGAAATTTCTCATTCAACTGCTTGTCATTATCATTCTTCGTGCAATCATGATTACAACTTACTCTACATTCTAAATAACATCATTCTCATAATATTTACAATGAATCACATGCTCAAATTTCTTTCTTTCTTTCTTCAAATGGATAGCCAAATTGGGTCCTAATAGAAGTGTCTCATTTGACTACTAGAATGTCACCATCAATCCCCACTTAAGACAATGGTCAACGCCACCACTATTGCACCATGAAAAGAACATCATACTCTTAGTAATATACAAACATAATTTTGCTTCTAATAGGTGATTAGATGGAGACTCTTGTTAACAACCTCAAATTCGCCAATCATGACACTTTAAGACATTATTATAGAACTATTAAGCACTCTATTTGTTCACCAAAACATATCAAGACAATTGTTTTTGCCTTGATGTCTACACCTCCAATTTGGGTGAGGAATAAATTGATTTATGTAAGCTAGTTGGTATGAACACACTATTATCTAAGGGTTTTATAGTTTAGGTGGGATTAGTATTTTTTAGATGAGAATTCTATGATTCTATCCATCCATCTCCTTGTGTAAAAATATGTTGAATTACTTAATTTTAGAAATTTTCAAGGAAAAAACCTAAGTTTAGAAATATTAAAATCCCTTGAAGACTTTTTTTATTTTATTTCCAGAACATGAACATCGTGTTCAACAATGAAATTTCTCATTCGACTGCTTGTCATTATCATTCTTCGTGCAATCATGATTACAACTTACTCTACATTCTAAATAACATCATTCTCATAATATTTACACATGATCACATGCTCAATTTTTTTTTTACTTCCTTCACTAAATAAATACTCTAATTGTCGAGCAGACCAAACAATCAATTAACACTATAGAAACATATTGACTGTAAAAAAATTTCATGTGATCATCAGTATTAGACTTAAAAATACATCCTAGATAACATCGTATTCATACTATTCACAATAAATTACAACTCTTCTCTTTTTCTTGATAAACACTATGATCGACGTACAGTGCCAACCTAATGCTATGAATAAGAACACCTCGACCTCGACTACTATAGAATTGTTGTAAAGAGTCACAATGACGCCCTTAACAATTCGGACTAGAATGCCTTCTTCTTTCTCTTCCTTCCACACTTAGGCACCCAAATCGAAGCCGTCACCAAAGGCCTAGACTTCCAACATAGTGCCAACCTAGACTTCTCATGTTGAACCCAATATCCACCACTAAACAAGCTCACCAAGTAGTTAGCTTGGGACACATTAGAATGACTAAAAGCTTTTGCCTTGAACAACCTTTGCAAACACTCAAACCCATCCCCCCACTCCAACTTCTCACTTGCCCTACAAGGAAACTCCCTCAAACTATTCACTATCCTCACTCCCAAAACCTCCTTCTCCATCATCTCCAACCCATTCCCACCGATCCCATCCGCGACCAAGGCCTCAGACAGAGCACTGTAATGGTGGATAGCCTCACAGAAGAACTCCACAAACGACATCGATGGGATCTTGCCGAAGTTATACACCTCTTCCTCCACCAACACCACCAATTTCGGCGAAAGCCCACTCGTAACCCCGGAAAGGAACGTCTTCAGCAATGGGAAGCTCCTGTTTGGAGCGTGGAGCTGGTGGATCATGCAGTTAGCTACAAGTACTCTGCCATCGTCAACTCGAATGGCACCAAAATCATCCTCGTTCGAAATCTCTACCGCCTCGAATTCAAACGATAAGTTGATCGAGTCGGCGTACTCCCTCAGCAGCCTGCCCGTTTGATTCAGCAGGGCAAAATTAGCCGCATTGGTGTTCTTCAACGTTAATGCCGTGAGTCTCAAGGAGGCAGGGGAGCTTCCTCCGGCTGCTAAATCTGCCATCAGTGGGGGCCATTGGAGACCTTCGTTGATGTCGAAATCGATGACGTGGATGTTTTGGTTGTCCGATGTGGCTTCGAGAATTGCTTGGTTGGCTGTGAAGTGGCCGAATTTCATGTATGGAGAGAGCTCCTGGAGAATGTGGAAAGCAGGGGATGAAACAGAGTAAGTTGGTGGCTCTAGCGACGGTCGTAGAAACTGTTCGTTGCTAAAAGTTGTCATTTGGGTTTTGTGACGCAAGCCCTGAGTAAAGAACCAGGCCAGCCTTTCTAACGACGAAGAATAGGCATCGCGATTTTTTGCGACGACTCTTCGATCGTTCACGAGCTGAGTCAGCTCGGAGATGACAGAGGAACTGAGCTCAAAGTTCTCCGCTTCGATGGCTTCAGCTCCCATCAGTAACAGGCTCGGAAGCCTCTTCTCTTCGTATTCTTCAATTAACAGAGAATCCGGTCCATCTTTAATGACGAACTCTGTTTCTGTAACCGCTTCTGTAGTTTCTCCGTCGCCAGTTGTGACCATCTCCTCGTCTTCCTCCGCTAATGGAGTTAATTCAACGGAGTCTTGGCCGACGACGGGGGAGGAGCTGCTGCTGCTCAAGTCCATGAAGAGATCGGACTCGATCTCCAGCAGTCTGCTGATCTCCCACCCGCTCGAGTTTTCGGAAAGAACTGTTTCGTCGAAATCCTCTGTTTGGAAAGAAGCCAGGGCTTCTTCTAGGGTGCATTGTAGATGGTAATGATCCATTTCATGGATAGGTGGATAGAAGGGGAAATGGGTTGTTTCGAGTTCCATCATGAGAGAGAGGTTTAAGAGTTGTTGGAAGAGCTAAAAGTCAGAGGAGCTTTAGTTAGAGACAGAGTAAGAAGGCAAACTGTGATAAGTCATCTTCGGTTTTCCTGGTATTTATAGTGTGGGCTTGGAGAAACATTCAGAAGTAAAGTTTAAAATGGATTTTCATTGGAAAAAAGAGATGCAGAAATAGGGTTATTACTTTATTTCCTTAACGAGGCAATTAAATATGAAAATGATGTTTCTTTGTCTCAGCACCAGCTAGTAGGAGGATGTTAGTCGGTTCGATTCAATTATAACTATACTAGTTGATTCGGTTATCGGTTAACTGTTAAACAATTTTGTTTATCATTAACTATATTAATTATATTAGTTGGCTAATCGCAAGGTTGTCAACCCGCGGGTTGACCCACGGGTCGACCCAATTTGACCCTGACCCGGTGAGAAAAACGGGTTGCATGCACCCGCCGGGCCGACCGCTATAAGGTATAGGGTTGGAGGTCAAATTGTGTCATTTTTTTCCTTAGTTTGCGAAATGCGCCTATTTTCCAATTTTTCTTTTCGCCTAACTCAATCTTTGGAATACTAAGTTGAACATTTGAATATTTATGTTATATAAGTGTGTGTGAATTTTCACTATATGTTGGATCTAAGTACGATATGTTATTTTGGTGTAATATTATATGTTATAACTCATATCTTAGATAAGATTTGATATAATTTATGAGGATAAGTACAATATAATGGCTCTTTCTATATTTCCGGGCCAAACCGGGCTAAAACGGTTGACCCATTAACCCTTGACCCACTAGCTCGACCGGGTCCGGGTCAACCCGCGGGTTGACAACCTTGGCTAATCGTAATCATATATTCAATTATTGGTTATTATGTTGGTTAACCGACTAACTATTTAACAAGTAATTCGGCAAAGATTATACCAAAATAATCTATAGGTTAAATACACTTGTATATCCAAAACTTTCACGGTTGTGCCAATAATATCCAAATTTCCCGAAATACCACTTATATCCACGTTTTAAAGTTGTTCTTTGCCAAATCTATCCATTTTCCAATATATTTTTGGTTAAATACACTTGTATATTCAAAAACACCGTTAAAGAATGTGAAGTAATAGGATATAAGTGGTATTTCGGGAAATTTGGATATTATTGGCACAACCGTGAAAGTTTTGGATATACAAGTGTATTTAACCTAATCTATAAGTAACTGAACACATAAAAAGCATCTTTCCTTATATCCAATTGTGCATTTTTTTACATGTCTTTACTTAGACCATATACCTATTTGAACTAATAGACGAAAACAAAGAGAGGAAGGAGAAGAGCAAGGAGTGCGAACTGAGTGAGGGCAGCCATTGATGGAAGAAATAAGGATGATGTCTTCCAATCTTTCTTCCAGCAGAAGCCACATGATATTCTCAATTTAGTCTTGATAGCTACATTTCAATTGCAAAATCGATTGTGCTCTTTGGCTATTTAATTTTAGGGATCATACTAGGAAGGAATTGAAGAAAGAAAAAGAGGGTCGGAGTCGTTTGTTCAAAATTCGAGAGCATGTTTGGAAGGGGCATGGTCATTTGGGGTGGGGGGGGGGGGTGTGTGGAGATTAAAATAGATATTTATATTCAATTAGTTATCGGTTAGCCAACAATCGACTATTCGGTTATCGATCACAGCGGAAGTCATTCTAGCTTACTGATAATCGCACCGCAAGCTTATAATCGGTTAACTGTATAACCTTTACCGGTCGGTTACTGGTTAGTTTAACGATGTAGTTGCTAACCAGATATCACCCCTATTAGCTAGATATGTATATGGGAAAGATTGGGTGATAATAATTACAATTCTTGTTCTACACAAGAGGCAATCTCGTGTAGAGATGGTAACGAGGCAGGTTTTCATAAATCATCTCCTTCATTGTTTCCAATATCTCAAAGACATACACACTCAATGTTCATCAGATGGAGGTTTTACAATATCACCCTATTGATCGAATGTTATTAGTTTAACTAACAATTCATAAATCGATTACCATCCTTATTAATCGGAAAAGGCATGTTTCGTTGCCTAAGATGGATAGTTAGTTGGGGACGATAGGTCGATAATTCACAACATTTTTCATATTATTCTCATCCCATGAGTTTTACGATATATCAAGTGATATTAATCATAATCCTTGTTCAACAAGAGGTATCTCATGTAGGAATGGCAATGAGACGTATTTTCTAAACCATCGTCATTCTTATTTCTAAAATGCAAACTCGCACCCTCCCTGTACTGTACCCCATTAAGTGAAGATTTTGCAACTCAATCCTCATATTCTCAATGTTGTTGGATCAGTCGCCTAATCTTCTTCTTCTTCTTCTTCTATAAGCTAAGAGAGAAAACGAATGAGTGTAAAGAGATGAGAAGCAACGATCTAAGATATTGATATATTACATAATGAATATGGATATGAGTATGGGGTATAGACCCCAAAATCAAATTCCCTAATAAAACAAAGCCAAAATGTGAAAGGGTGGCTGGTTATGTGCATAAATCATCGATTTTGAAAGTTGTCATTAGCGTGTAGATTTCGACAATTGTTGATGGATTATTGTTGATCTGATAGTTTGGGTATCGAAAAGTAGTTGTACAATTTGATTGTATAACATCGATATCATGGCCACAAGCAATAGAAGAGCCTATACATCAGCACGCCAGACCATTTAGGTCGGTCTCATGTATAGAGGATAATTTTATTGATCGATTGTTTCGTCCATAGAAGCTTTTTCTGTCCTTGTAGGTGTACATTCAATTTTAGAATCTAACCACAAAATTCATCATTAACTATTACATGACACGATTAGGGTTTCCATTCTCATCTTCATCCATAATATGAGGCAGTATATATAAATTTATCCTAGTATATGTAATGAGAAAATTATGTACGGTGAGCTGGTAGGGCACAAAGGAACATACTGGAGAAGGGCACTAATATAGAACTGGAGGGCACACACCTCCCCCAGTCCAATCTAGTTTTTGCAACGACAAAGATACTAGCCAAACTCTTGGCCTTATTGCCCCCTCCCACTTGTTGATTAATTAATAATAATACATAATGACTTGTCCTTGTGCTTCTAAAAGAAAATAATATTGTCAACATTTCAAATTAAAAAGAGAGGGAGAGTCAACTAATTTAAGTGAGGTGTCCACTTGACAAGAGACATAATAAAATGGTTGGTTTGGTATTTGGTTTAAATAACACATGGTATAGTTTGATGGGTGCATCATCAAGGGCAGGGAAAGAGGTAAATGGTTGTGTGTTATGTGCATTGAAATTGAGATTTTTAGGTTTAAAGTTTGGTGTCACAATTACTCGATTAAATTTATGTTGATGAATAATATGGCATTTAAAAGTTTGTCATCGAGTTAATTAAGTTTGTATATACTGAAGATATTGGACCCTAAGCATTTGTAGTTAATCTAGAACAAGGTTGTCAAACCGGTTTATGCCACTGCGCCGGTTTTGTAACTGAAATGGTCCTACCGTGGTAGAACCAGTTTGTATGCCGGTTATGCCGGTTTTAATAAAATACTTTAGAATACAAATAACCTATCTTAACATAATATTTCTTCTGAATCCTAGAATTAATACCTAAATTACTCTATAGCCCTTGTCAATTTAATATCAAAATCAAATAAACCCCACCTACGCCTCTGCCTCTACTCCCACGACGGTCGCTGCTATGCCTCCCTTTGTTCTGCTCACCGAAGGGAGAAGAAGGGAAAAGCTCACCTCTGACCGCCAACTGACCCGCCTCCCCTGCAGCATTAGAGAAGAAGAGGTGGTCGCCGAGCTTCGCGAGCCTCACCGCGCTCCCGCACCTGCTTCGATGATTCCCGCCTGCCAAGCTTCGTGCGTCGCGGATCTGTCTCCGGTCTATATGCTCCGACACGAGGAGTCATCAATTTCAGGGTCCATCGAGCCTCATTGCGCCTGCCTCACCTCGTCGCCGACTCACCGATCTAGGGTTATTTCTTTGCGAGGAGATGGAGAAGAGGCAGGCCAGAGAGAGTTTGTAAGGATTGGGGAAGCTGAATCGCGAGAGGGGCCAAAATTCTTACCTTAATTTCTGAAAAAAACGACGGCGTAAAAGCTTGGGACCGGAAACTGAATGCCGGTTGGACCATCTGGAATTTCCGATTTTGACCGAAATTTACTGGAATTGACCGAAATTGAACAGTGCATCCTACCGGTGTCATTCCAGCCGATTTCACCACCGGTACCGGTTGAACCTGGTTCAACCGGCCGGCAATCCACTGGCATGACAACCATGATCTAGGAAGAGAGGTTTATGGGTGCAAAGTTGGATGAAATTGTGTATGGTCTCAATCTTATTTACCTTATGAAAGTTAGAAAGTTCTCCAAAATTATATTTGATTATCATAACTCATGGAGATATAATGCAACTGCGACTCCCATGCAATGTACGATCATCTCTAAGATCCGGCGCCTCGTAGTAGGTCTGCGATGGCATTTCCGTTACAGTTTAAGTTTACAGAGGAACTAATTTTGTGGTTGATCCTAGCTTTCATAACTAATCACATTCACAAATATATGTACTTGCTTCCGTTCACTAGCATATTGGTTACATTTTGATGAACTACTTGATATCGTTATAGAGACGTCTCCTTAATACACATCTTCTTACATCGAAAGGCAGTTTCCTCACTCCAAAGGCAATCGAGTTTACCCTATTTCATCATTCACACACAAAACCAAAATGAAACACTAAAATTGATAAATAGCATGTTATTTTAGCTTGCACGGGTATCATTACATCTCGTACTCAGAACTAACTAATTATCCGAATAACTCAAATCATTCAAAACAATTTTAAACTTTCATTTTTTTATACCATCCCTTACACTCACCCTATTAACTTTGATTTC